ACGTTTGTTCTTCTGTTTGGTCACCTTGGCCCTTCTACGGTCCATGAACCTCTCCCGAGCCTTCACGACCAAGGAGTTGGCCGAAATCTGACAGGCCACCGATGCTGCCCATGATGATGACCAGGACTATGCTACCATCTTAGCAGCTCTTCCTAGGCGCTTCTTCTCGAGCTTCTGCTCCTTCACACGGCGCTGTCGGGCAGCCAACGCCTTCAAATTCCGGTCCCTGCGTTTGATAACGGCCTCGGCAACCTGACCAAGGCAAAGTTTAGCATTCCCATCCCTCTTGAAGCGGCGAGAATAGTCCCAGCAGAACTTTCAGGTGGGCAGCAAAAGAGCCTCTGTGGAATCTTTGAAGTGACTCAGCTCAAGGCCAGAGCCCCTCGAGATGAATTTTTCGACTCTGGAAAAAAGCCCGAAATCACCAGTATATTACCTTGATACTCTCTCCCTCATTCTTGGGTCGCAACACTGGCTTATAGAGGTCGTTATCCGTCTTCTTGACGGCTACCTTGGGCTGCTTAGATTTACCCATACTTTCAGACGGCGCGACGAATCGATCAACAGGGCGCAGCACTCATTTTGTACGCGTGCACACTCGTGAGTCGTGACTCGGAGTCAATCGTATGCGTCTGACGCGTCGCCCCTTGCTCATCTTGCTCATTAACATGAGCTTACTGAGCTGTGTTGGTGAGCATGCTCCTAGACTAGCGTCGAATACGAGATCTTGAGGTTGCATAACGTACCAGTGCAATCGTATATTACGGTTGCATAGACCTGTTACGATAGATTATAGCTATATAGACCTGTTATGTACAGTACATTGTACCAAGGAGTACCGCAGTAATGGCCATCTCCATGACAGTTTTGCTATGCACCCTACCTCAGTTGATTGTTGTACGACCCTCTGTCTCTGAGAAATGACTAGTCCCAGTCCCCGCCTCTTGAAGATGTTCTTTGGCATAGCGCTGAAGGGTGGGGAGTCGCAGACCATGGACGAGGTCAACGCCG